AAGTTTTTACAAATGAACTAAATAACTTCAGCATCTTCTGCTGAAGTTTTTGGAAAAGCTTTATGAAAAAACTAATGAATCCAGGACAAAAAAAACTTCAGCTTATATAGTGCTGAAGTTTTTACAAATGAACCAAATAACTTCAGCNAAATAGTATTATATATTGTTGTTTAGAGTATCGGCCTACCTAAAATTTATTTTGGTGGTGCATTTGTTTACAGTATTGGCTAAAGTATTGACCTTTCTCATAGAAAATATTGCTAATCCAAATTATTAATTTCGTAACAACATTGTCAAACTACAACACCAATCGCAGTTGGATCAAAAAGTATAATTGAGCAGATTTGAAGTTTTACTAGATTTCAAATTAAATTCAATCGCTTCCAAACTTTAAAGTCAACTTTGTATTAGTATTTCCAACAAGAATCTATGTTGCCCAGTTAATTTCTCACATAAAATTCAAATTTCACATAAAACTCAGTTTCTCCGAAGTGTGACTGTGGCGCTTTTAATGTGAAACTCGAAATTTCTCCACCAAAATCATTCAATTCCATCAGTATTCAAGTTTTTTCGTTCAAACAAAAATGAATCAGTGCACATGAGTTGATTTGGAATTTATTCTCTACTTTTCTTTCCTTAATAAATCAACTAATCAGAAAAGAACAATGTATGTACTTCACATACGAATTAAAAATAAATTTCGTACAAATTTAATGCAAATTTGAATATCAACAACAACTTACATAGTAAAAATAAATTTTATACAACTAATTATATAGTATACAACTTATTTACAACTTATCTACAACTTTCATACATTATTTTTTTTCAGTTAAATACATCTAAAATATCATACAACTTAAATATAATTTTTATATAAATTTTATACAATATGTCTTTTGTATATTTTGTATCTGATTTATACATAGTAAAAATAAATTTCATACAACTAATTATATATTATACAACTTATCTACAAATTATCTACAACTTTCATACATTATTTCTACTTAGTTATATACAACTACAATATCATACAGCTTAAATACAATTTTTATGCAATATTGTTCAACTTCCATACAATATTTGAATAAAAAAATATATATAAGTAACAGATTACAATTTTTCTACAATTTTACTACAACTTGACTACAATTTCTGCAGTATAATGTATGTCATGTCTTCTTCTTCTTCTTCTTCTTCTTCTTCTTCTTCTTCTTCTTCTTATTCGAGTTTCAATCTGAAATTCAGTCAAAATCAGGTCTAATCTTCACCAAAACACGCTCAAAATTGAGATATAAAATTTCAAACCATATTCCCAATTGTTTGCAACAACACCCAATCCAAACAAATAATGGTTTTTGGAAACACAAATTCGAATTCAAAGCTTCAAAGCTTTTTAATGGTTGTCAATGGTGGAATTGCTGCTCTCTTTTCCTTTACTTGACATTACTGGAATTAGGGATTGAGAGATAAAGAGAGACGTAGTGAGAATTCCAAATTGTTTGCAACAACACCCAATTCAAATATATAATATTTTTTGAAAACCCAAAGTCGAATTCAAAGCTTCAAAGTTTTTTAATGGCTATCAATGGTGGAGTTGCTGCTCTCTTTTCCTTTGCTCTACATTACTGAAATTAGGGATTGAGTCGTAGAGAGAGAGAGAGAGAGTGCAGTAGAGAGAGAGAGAGAGAGAGAGAGAGAGAGAGAGAGAGAGAGAGAGAGAGAGAATAAGGATGAGAAATAATTGATTCCTAATATAAAGTGATACTCATTTAATTCCTAAAGTGCATATAATTGGTAAATTTGTATATAAGATGTAATTAAATTGAAACTTGAGTAGGGAGTGTATATAATTGAAACTCGATTCTGTGTTTCGAGGCCTTTGAAATCTCATTTTTATCCTCCTCGATTTGCGTGCACAATCCGGGCGTGTTTCCGCAAAGCTTTTATGTTGAAAGTTGATGAAAATAATAATTCTTGCCTTTAAAACTTGATTTAGTTGACTTCGGTCAACTTTTTGAACAAACGGACCCGGACTCATATTTTGATAGTCCCGGTGGGTCCGTATCAAAATATTGGACCTAGGCGTATGTCCGGAATCAAATTCCGAGGTCCCTAACTCGAGAAATAAATTTTTGATGAAAATTGAAAGACTGAAAATCTAATGGTTTTAAGAATTTGGTTAATGTTTGATCTTGTTGGTATCGGGTCCGTATTTTGTTTCGGATCCCGGTACAGGTTCATTATGATATTTAAGACTTGTCTGTAACATTTGATGAGAAACGGAAATGGTTTGACGTGATTCGGACGTCCGGTTGTGAAAATAGAGGTTTTCAAACTTTCTTGAAAATTTCATTCAATTTAGTGCTAAATTCGTAGATATAGGTGTTATTTTGGCGATTTGATCGCACGAGCAAGTCCGTATGATGTTTTTAGACTTGTGTGCATGTTTGGTTTGGAGCCTCGAGAGCTCGGGTGAGTTTTGCATAGGCTACGGGATGTTTTAGACTTAGAAATCTGGTGTGTTTTGCTGCAGTTGGTGTTCTGATACTTTATGCTTCGCGATCGCGAAGCCATTCTCGCGATCGCGAAGGGGAATCTGGGATGGGGAGGACTTCACTCTATGCGAACGCGAGACCAGGGTCGCGAACGCGGAGTATTAGGGGGAGTTGCTCTACAAGAACGCGACCGGTCGACCGCGTATGCGTAACTTTAGGTAGGCTAGTCAGGGGACCTGGGAAACCCTATGCGAACGCGAGCCCTGTATCGCGAACGCGAAGGTAGGGTGGGCTAAACCTTCGCGAACACGCAGTGTTCCCCGCGATCGCGTAAGTCCTTATGAGGCTGCCTTCGCGAACGCGACAGTGTTCACGCGATCGAGATGAACACTATCGCCCAACACTTAAAACAGAAGCAAAAATAGGATTTGGCCATTCTTTCTCAAATTTCAAAACTAGAAGACCTAGAGGCAATTTTCAAGAACTAATTTCTTCCCCAAAGTGTTGGTAAGTGATTCCAAACCATTTTCTTTCAATGACCCATTGCATTCCATAAATTTACAACCTAAAATCTATGATATCCATGGTAGAAATTGGGGGTTTGGGTAGAATTAGGAATTTTTGGGAAATTGGAATTTAGACCTCAATTTGGGATCAGATTTTAAAACTAATTGCATATTCGGGCTCGGGGGTGTGAATGCATTTTGGTCCGAACCTCGAGTTTTGACCAAGCAGGCCCGATGTCGATTTTTTACTTTTTGGGGAAAGTTTGAGAAATCTAAATTCGTGCATTGTAGTTGATTCCTTTAGCAATAATTGATGTTATTGAGTTAATTGTGGCTAGATACGAGTGGTTCAGAGGTGGATATTAGAGGAAAAATGGTAATTGAGCATTGATTGGCCCGCGGAGCAAGGTAAGTGTCGTGGTTAACCTTGGCTTGAGGGATTAGGTCCTAATTGCCTATTTTCTATGTGTTTGAATGTTGAGAACAACGTATAGGTGAGGTGACGAGTACCTATGCGTTGTTGTTGAGTCATACCATGCTAGTGAGTCCTATTAATAAAATTGTAGCTTTCCGTGATCATATTACCCATGCTTAGACTAGTTTATTGTTATGTTGATTGTTCTTATCATATGTACAAATTTTGGTGTTGATTGAGTATTGACTCCAAGTCGAGGTTGACATTGTGGAAGTAATTATTGAAGTAGGACTTGTTATTATTTCTATCTCCCTATTATTATTGTTCGTTGCTTTGGTGAGGGAGAGTGTTAAAGCACGAAGGGTGATGCCGTGCATGCTTCTGTTATTTATTATGGTGAGGTTGAGTGATACAGTACGAAGGGTGATGCCGTGCACATTTCTATTATTTATTATGGCGAGGTTGAGTGTAAAAGCACGAAGGGTGATGCCGCGCACGTTTCTATTATTTTATCTGATGAGGTTGAGAGTAAAAGCACGAAGGTGATGCCGTGCACTTTCCTTTACTGTGTTTTATCCGTTTCTATCTGTTTATGGTATATTGATTGTTCGTATTTTCAGTTCCATTGTAATTCCTTATCTTGCAATCCCCTTAGCATGTTCCCCTCCCGTTATTAACTGTTTAGCATTTATTAGTTGTTATTGTGCTCGTATATTGTTTAACTGCACAGGTTTATGTATGTGTGTCTTGTCCTAGCCTCGTCACTAGTTCGCCGAGGTTAGGCTCGGCACTTACCAGTACATGGGGTCGGTTGTACTGATGCTACACTGCAGATTGTGCAGATTTTGATGCAGGACCGAGTTGATCTCGAGTTAGCTGCTGGCTTTATTTGATCGGAGACCCAAGGTAGTCATGTTGGCATCCGCAGGCCCTGGCATCCCCTCCTATACCTTATACTTTACCGTTTCTCTTTATTTCGCACACAGTTGTACTTTCTTTCGGACAAATACTTGTAGTAAAAATCTTAGAATATTCGTGAATTGTGACTCCGGATTCTAGGCAGGGACAGTATAGAATCAAAGTTGTTATTTATTTATTTCCGCATTTATTTCACCTGTATAGCTTGCTTGTTGTTAATCACTGAAATATAAAAGGTTTGGCCAATGAATCTCTAACGTTGAGTGTGTTAGGCGCCATCACGGTCCCGACGGTGAGAATTTCGGATCGTGACAAATAAAGCTTCCAATAGGGTATAGGTATATAAAAATTCTTTTTCTATATTCTTACCTTGAATGCCATAAGTGACTTTTCTATTATATAGAAGAGCAAGCTTTTTGACATGTCTGCTTAAGTGTCATTTAGAGTAAAGATGAGGGCATTTTGGTCTTTTGGTATCACTTACCAATTGATCTAACGTGTCTTTTAATTGTTTGCCTATATTCTACGTGTATATTCGACATCGCTCCAACTGTCTTCCAATATTTTCTTTCCGTCGGTCAAATTTTCACAGGCTCTGTCAGAAGTCCATGTTCTTGATCTCAAGGGTATTGCTGGGAGTTCTAGATACAGGTTTGTTCCGCTTTTAATTTCTGCCTATATCTCTTCTTCTCTTTTCTTCATCTTTTTCCTTTCAGATGCTTCTTTTGGTCTCTCTTCATATTTCTTAAATTTTTAATCCAATTGCTGGTGTGTTAAATTTGATGGTGAAACTCCATTTATAAGCCTCTAATCTTGCTGAATTTTGATTAATAACAGTGAGCAAACGAAAGGTCAGGCATCTGATATAGGAATAATCCCTTCATCTTCATGGTTAATTTTATTGTTCTTTCTCTCCCCTTTTTTGCTCTTTCAATAAGTTACAGCCCACACGCAATTTATTTATTGAGATTAAAGGCTTCTCGCTACACTGATATGGGTGTTAAGCCTAATTAACAAGACAAATTTTGGGTATCGCTTCACAGTGCGTAAAAAGTTCTTCGCTTCATCTTCCTCAGTTCTCTTCCTCTGTTTATTTTCAGATTTTTCTTCATACCACTTGGATTCTCTTAATACTTCCTTTATGTATTTAATTTTTCTTTTAGTGCTTTTTCTTGGTTCTCCTCATACCTCCTAATTTTGCAATGACATTGCTGTTGTGAGAAGAAGGATTTTATCTTCCAGTGTTGCTTGATTATTTGTTCTAAAGTAAATGGTAGTATATAATATAAGCAAATAAATGCTTGATCTTTCTAGCATGGTAATGATTTTTCGGAGCATTTGTTACTATCTTTTTTGATTATTTTCTTCTGTATAAGTTTCTTCCGTACAGTTAATACATTTTATTACAAAATTAATATATCTGTTCGACAAAGATCATTCTAGATTCTTTGATCCTTCTTTTATTCTTTAGAGTTCTTTTCTTTCTTATAGGTAAAATGGAACAAACCGGTAGAAGCATACTGACAAGGTAGGAACTAACAGTTAGAACTTATTAAGCATTTCGCACATACCATATCGCTAATGACACATTAGTAATATGTGATGGAAGTGTTAGTCGGTCGAGATACCTAAGGATGATACTGATCAAGTTTGAAGCAGTATCTAAGTTGAGACTGGACAAAGAGATACGTATTACCTGTGAATGAAATAGACAATATACAGAACTTGTAGGAATTTTATTGTGAAATATGTTGTCTTCTAACCACTTATTTGGGCTTCTCTTTAGGAGCAAGACACAAGGCTAGTGAGATGGCAAAGGGTGATTGATAGACGTGGGGAAAAAGTATGCAAATAGAAAACAATATTTATCTTTGATGGGCAGAGTGGTGTTGATTACATGGTATTTTGGATGCAATGCCTACTTATGTGATGTCACTCTTCCCAATGCCTATAAAGGTTGCAAATAAGTTGGACGAAATGAAAAGCGATTTTTTATGCCAAGGAAACAAAGAGAAGAGGCAACATATCTAATAAAGTGGGACAGTGTCATATTGGATAAGAAGATGCGAGGTTTAGAAATAAAGAGAATAAGAATACAATCGAGAGTTTACTCATGAAGTGGTTATGGAGATATCATGTGGAAGAAGAGGCAGGATAATTTATTCTTAAAATATCATGGTGAAGAGAACTTCACCCTTAAATCCTGTTACAAGGCCCTGATGCTAAGAAATACACAAGTAAGGAAGTGGCCATAGAAAAGATTTTAAAAACAAGTAATCCCTACAAGGTCTAACATTTTCTAAAGTTTGCATCCTAGGAGGTTTCTCATTTGCAAAGGAAAAGATACAAGATGTGTAAGAGGTGTTACTTAGTGAAAAGGGAAGCAACATATTCCTTCAATGTGAAGTGACTGCAGAATTATGGAACATATTCCAGTTTGAAATAGTCAATGCCAAAATCATGAAAGAGTTCATAGAAAAAGAAGGTATGGACAACGATCCTGGCTTGAATTTAGTGGACCATATAGGGAGAGAAAAATGTTAGGTGTTGCAAAAGCAAAGCGGAGTTAGTCAGTATGATTATATATAAGTGTCTAGCATTGTTGTCTTTCCGGTGCAAAAACTATTATACTAAGGATTCTATTAATATGCTAAATTTTATTAGCCAGCTTCAAAATTAGAAACGAATGTGGTTATTTTTGTTTGTAATAGCACAATACCTACTTAGTGCTGTTATTTTACTCACAATACTTGATGCAAAGTGGCTTTAACCCTGCAACTGAGTAGCCATGTATTGCCATTTTCTTGCTCTTTGTTCGTCATCTTTCCCGTCTTCTATTTCATCTTCCTCTGTTCAGATTTTGCTGATTTATGCATTTCAGTAAAAAAATATTACATGCCCATAGAGCTATGCTAATGTTCTTGATGCTTTGAATCCAGAACTGTTAGAGCGGACAGGTCTCTTTCAGTTTGTCTCTTCAGTGGGTGGCGACTGGGCTATTCAAAGCTCAAAGTTGGTATCTTTCGTTTATGTGTTGTTGCTCGACTTTCCTCGGTTAACATATGATGCTACCCTTAGCTATTGATGTTATTGAAGTCGTATGCTTAAGCTTTGGCTAATTTAGGAGATCCAAATTATCTCTATTTTTTTAAGGGTTTCTTTGTACTATGATTTTGTTTTCTGTTCTTCGTTTTGGTCTTCTTATTACCTTTTCTGTTCTTCTATATGGTTTCTGTATTTTGGTCTTTTAATTCTTTGGTCGTGATTATATTTTGATGTCACAGTGATAGTAAATTCGTAAATTGATTGACTTTTATGATTTGTGTGTTGAGGAGGGAGCTCAAGCTGAAAGATCTGATCAACCCTTTCCTTCGAGCAGTTTGTTTGCGAAATGAACGGTATAAATTTTTCTGTTGTTCAATCACAGTCGCTGACTCTTTAATAAAACATTAGAAGTAAAAATTGGGACTAATTTGATACTTGGTTTTTGGTTTTATAGGTTCTTATATGTGTGAGTTTCCTTTTTTTTTTTAGGGTGGGGGGGGGGGGGGGGGGGTTAACCGGTCTATGTATGTTCGGGTTTGTAATTTTATTGACCAACTTTAAGCCTTCGATCTTTTTCTCTCTTTGAGGTAGCATGCGTTTTTCTGTGATTGCTTGTAGAGCATAGTGAAAATGCAACTTAGTTCCAATTGTAATCCTTACACATGATTTCCTTGACTATAATAGTGATTGTCATTTCATTAGTTTGACTTCTTTTTACAAACTTCTCATTAAGTAGTGGACCTCCAGGCTCTAGGACAGATGCATGATCAGCGGAGGAAATTCCCTCACGGACATATGTAAACAGAAAATCTTAAATGTTAGAGATTGTTAGTGTTAGATAATAAAGTATTACTTAAGAACTTAGAAATTGCTATTTAGTTGTTTAAATTACCAGATTAGCGAATGAATTACTTTCACTGAATAGCTTATTCCCTAAACAACATGTTACGTGCACAAAAATTAGAATTTGGCAACCGAAATTTTACTGGAATATAGCAAGCAACATGACTTATATAGTCATGTTAAGGACATTTTCAAGTAAGCATAATGTTTTGTAAGTGTTAAATGGACTCTATCACAACATGTGCATCAGTAGAAGGGTATTCTTTATGGTCTGATCCATACTGATTCAAACCTCTGATCCATACTTATTTTGATCGAAACATCTGTGACATCAAACTTATCCAGTCAATTTTGATTACATGGACATATGTTCACTATCTATGAAGCCTATATTAGTCATAATCTAAGTAAAAGGATTTTTACATATTTATCTTTTCATTTTTCTGTGATAATCAAGCTAAATATTTCAACTATCCATGTTGCAATGCCTACAGGTTTTCTTGGTTAGTTTCTGACTTATTAAAAAGAATACAAAATAAATCTGGTTAAAGAAAAAACAAGAAAGGAAGAGCACATATTAAGTATTGACTCTCAGAAATTAAAGTAGAGTTGGGAGTCTGTGCTTGGTTCCGTTAGATTACTTTTGTGATTGTAAGAGCTTTTTGAGGTCAGTATCTTCAATAGGTTGATGTTTGCAATAGAGGGGATTTAAATATCGTGAAAAGCACACATATGATATCCTATTAGGTCAGTTTTTCGTCTACCTAAATAAAGAATATATGAATGTTAAAGAAAGGAACTTGCTATTCTCGCATAGAAGTTTACAAGTTTTAACGACTGATTGCATAAAAGACTTGTTATGAGTGCTGTATTGGCTCGCTATATACAGGAAAAAACCTTTAATAGAAAGGAGAAAAGCTAGATACAGCCAATGCAAAATCTTTCCATGAAACAGTTTAAATAATCCGCAGTGTATATCCTTATTCTGTGACAACAAATGAGAATTTGTCTAGAGATGATTTGTTAGTCTGAGTGTTAGTTATTGTTCTTCGTATCATTTGCACGGTAACCATGAAGCAGAATTTATGTATTTTCCCAAATTGGTACTGACAATGGGAAGCACAAAGTCATGTATAATGTCAGTCTTCTAATGTTTTTTTATGGGGGATTGTACTGTGACCTATATTATTGCTCTTTCTTGATCACTGCAGTTGACCATCCATCTCATGAATTTAAGGATGTCATTATGGGATTCTGGCCCCCCACATGCTCTACTCCGATACAAATATGTACTGACAGGTTATTATCATCATCTCTTTTTTTTTTTCTTTTCAGGATGTGAAATTGTGACCTTTTCTTAGCAAAGTAAACTTCTCTTTCTCCAACTGCAAGTGTCATTTGCTGGTTTGGCTAGCAAAGTTAAGCTTTGCGTGGACTGCCCACAAATGAAGAAAACCTGTGATGTTTGTGGCAGAAAGACCAAACAAGAATGCTGATTTTGAACTCTGTGTAGACTGTCCTTCAACTTTGTAATGCTGGTGATCCGACTTGATTTTGTTTTGTTTGTAAACAACTAAATGGCCCCTAACAAAAGTTCCTCTTGTATCTTGTATGAACTTTTATTTTTGTGCAATTTCATATCAGAAAAAGGTTTGTAGAAAAAGAAAGTTCAAATTTTTCCAATATTGGGCTCGTGCTGGCACGGGCCATCACTACCTAGTTAGTAAAGAAAGGCAACTTCTTAGGCATTAAAGGGCCACTTATATAGGTAAAAAATGGTCTAAAAGTTGCGGGCTTCGCCTCTGCTGCTGTGTCAGTGTATTAGCAACAGAGTACGTGGACTTTTCCCTTTGACAGCTGGAGCTAACTCTGGTGCTAATCTATCTAAAATGTTCTTCTTTCTCACAAATTTGTGCACCAAGGGGTTTCACAGTTGTACCATGAAATAATAGTTCTACAGCATTAACTTTACAATTGGTAATATAAATTTTCCCCAATTAGTTGTCTTTTCTGCTACTGGATCACAACTCTCTTAAAATAGATTTCTCTGTATCATGGAATTTCTCAGTTGTCTAATTTGTGCCTTTTCCTGTGTGAAAGGGGTGGTCTTGGTGTAATGTATTGTAAAATTTGGATTTCTTTCTGGGAAAAATTGGTGGATGGTGCTAGGTTTTGGGAATTTAAGAAATTGCTAAAATTTGGAGTTTTATCTGCTTTGTCCTCAATAATCCAGAAAGAAGATTGTGATTTCTGTAGTAATAGGCCCAAAGTTAACAGCTTCTCACGGTAAGATTCTGCTTTTCCCTAATTTAGTACTTCACCGAGTTGAAATTTCTGCGTCTTTTTTGGTATAAAAAACTGTTATGAATGCCACGAAACAATTGTTGACAAATTTTTTATTCTAATCCTATACTACAGTTTCATAGAAGTAGAAAAATATTGATTTTTGTTCTACTTAAACCTGTCAAATCTTGAAGTGCTGCAGTTGTAGTATTTACATTGACTAAGCTATTGTAACTTCTTGAACTTATTCGAAATTTTGCGGTAAGAACTGGGTGTTTATTCATTGATGAGTCAAGTTGGACAAAATCCAAGTTAGCAAATTCAATACCTCGCGTTTCTTTGGTAGAATGTGCTGGTTGTTAGGATGATTCGTCTAAATCTCATTATCTTGAACAATGAACATATTTGAACTGTTGAATTGTTAGTTCTCTGAAGCTGCTAATTTTGCAGCCATGGTATATTGTATATCTTTACAAGTTCTTGCTCCTTCTCCTCTTTGTTACCACAAAGAAACAAAGATTACAAAGGTATGGAGTTCCAGCAGTTACTTTGAAATATAGTGACTAGAAAGTCCAGATTGTTGAAAAAACTTAAAGTGTATTTTATGTATGTTCGCTCCCTTACATTTCTAATGTGGGATGGTTTGTTCTTACAATTTTACGGTGATTAATATGCAGGCTATACTGCCCCAGACAAATTTCGGCCGAGAGAAAGCAGGGATCAGAGAGTTCGTTTTTAGACAATAATTGTTCAAGATTAAAACGTAAGTTAGCTTACAACTATAACTGTAACTTCAGATTTTCTAACTTGCACTCTTCCAATAATTAGTGTATCATCCTTCTTAATAAAATTGCAGGAGGAACAAATTTGTGTAATACTCTATGGTGATGACATTGACGATGTGATAAGTTGTTCGAACTTTTCGAGACGTATTTCAACTGCCAAAGTTAGATATCCACGCCTTATTCACTAGACATCGGCCAATTTGAATGGGTCGTCGACAGGTTCACTATTGTGGAGTCTATTGCAAGGAATAATGAAAATGTAACTGAATGTTCGTCTTGGTAATTTCACTCCCAAAAATGTAACTGTCAAAGAATTTTTTGTTAACGTGATCTCGAGGGACCTTGTGATCACGATCTCTCCTTTGAGCTATTAGTTTGCATATGTAAATGCTTTGGAAGTTGCCTTGTACCTGATATCCTTATTACTGATGATGGCTCCACCATTAGTCCAGCGGGGAGTGGTATGTATGCGCAGGCTCTCGAAACAGTTGCAAGGGTAAACATGGGCGGATCGCTGGTGTCGTTTGAAAATGATACACTTTGGAGAACTTGTTTCTTGACGCAGCGGAGTTCTGCTAAGTCGATAAATAAGATTGCATCTGTGAAATATCCACAGGATGGAGCAACACCAGATATTGCACCACAACAGATAATTTATGGTACTTGTAGTAAGATGAATGCGGCTGATACTGGTGATGATCCTAATGCCAATTTTAAGGTGATTTGGACGTTCAATGTGGAACCTGGATTCCAATATTTCATTCGTTTACACTTCTACGACATAGTGAGTACACCAATCAGCTGTTATTTAACATTTATGTCAACTCCTGGAACGTGGCTAATGATTTTGATCATGGTCAGAAAGTGCAGGGCTTTTTGGCCACAGCTTCTTTCAACGATTAGGTCACTCCACCTGCTAAAAGTAACAGGCTTAACATTAGTGTTGGCCCGTCCCCTTGGAGTGGCTTTCTTGACGCCTTTCTAAATGGACTGGAACTTCTGTTCAGCGCTATGGAACTTCCACATGTTGATACTGAAAAGTACTGTGACACTAACCAAATTGGAATATGATAAATTCTTTTTCTACCTCAGAGATTGTTTCATTTCTTCATTTTGTACTGGATATGTCTGCATATTTCAATGATCTGTTCATTTTTACTACTAGGATACTACAGGTAACTAAAGTAACAACTATTATGAATACACAGTAATAATTGGCCTCATATATATTTGACAGAAGCTAAAAATACAGTGTTCTTTGTTGTATCTTTAAAGGTTGCTTATTCTTCTCGAGTGGAATAAGTGTCTTTCATTAGTTTAATTTAATGAACTCTTTTGGCATTTAGTACAAACACTTGTTGTTATCTGTTATATTCTTTTGTCAATCTTACCTATCTTTCAGGACATCATAGGTAAATTATACAGACATATTTTTGACTACTGCTGATGTAACTAATCTCCGGAGAGACAATAGAGACCAATGCTGCAAATTATATGTGAATAGAAATAACTGATCAGGTGAAGTTAAAAAGTTTTTACCAGTAAGTCTTGTTGGTAGTGATTGTAATTTCTCCAACAAACTTTTAAGCACTCATTGCTATATTGTATTGACATATTTATCTAAATGTTCGTATTCTGAAATACATTTGATGACTAACTGTATACCTTTTTTTGTCAGAATCTTATTCATATTTTGAACCTTTAAGCCATTATTGATGGACGAAGTGAGATTGCAGATGGAATAAGTGACGCAGATCAGACTCTGCTCTCTTCAAATCCTTAAATGTTTTGCCTTGGAGGAACAGATTCCCAAATTGAGTAAATCGTTAACCATGATGAAACAAGTAAGGCTCTCTCTTTAGGCCCCCAAATCTAAGATGCCCATTTTTCAGCAATGATAAATTTATATATTTTTTTTAAAAAAAAATATTAGACTTACAAATTTCGCTTTGTAGAAGCGGATCCATTACAACCATTCTAAATGGTCAGAAAGTGCAGGGCTTTTTGGCCACAGCTTCTTTCAACGATTATGTTACTCCACCTGCTAAAAGTAACAGGCTTAACGTTAGTGTTGGCCCGTCCCCTTGGAGTGGCTTTCTTGACGCCTTTCTAAATGGACTGGAACTTCTGTTCAGCACTATGGAACTTCCACATGTTGATACTGAAAAGTACTGTGACACTAACCGAATTGGAATATGATAATTTCTTTTTCTACCTCAGAGATTGTTTCATTTCTTCATTTTGTACTGGATATGTCTGCATATTTCAACGATCTGTTCATTTTTACTACTAGGATACTATAGGTAACTAAAGTAACAACTATTATGAATACACAGTAATAATTGGCCTCATATATATTTGACAGAAGCTAAAAATACAGTGTTCTTTGTTGTATCTCTAAAGGTTGCTTATTCTTCTCGAGTGGAATAAGTGTCTTTCATTAGATTAATTTAATGAACTCTTTTGGCATTTAGAACAAACACTTGTTGTTATCAGTTATATTCTTTTGTCAATCTTACTTATCTTTCAGGACATCATAGGTAAAATATACGTACATATTTTTGATTACTGCTGATGTAAAAGCATCTCAAGCCCTCAAGAAAAAAGCATTTGCAGCATGAAATACATGCAAAGAGAGAAATTACATCTCTCACTATATGTTGAACTTATCTCGGGAGAGACAATAGAGACCAATGCTGCAAATTATATATGTACTGATGCTTCGCCCCTTCGCCCCTACTGATGGCAGTTCTATTGTTTATTGTGGGAACATGTGGCAGTTCCATAAGAGTATGGAAGACATCTCCAAATTGCATGAGTTTTTCTGCATTGGCATGTGCAAGACTATTTCTTCACTGTTTTGTTTTAATAATAGCACTTCATATTTACACCCAGACCTAGGTAATAATTTTTTTCCCTACAGCCTTGTATACTTCACGCTTTAACTATTGTGTTTTGTCTGTAACTGGCTTTAGTTACTTGTTCTACTATAAAGGGTAATCAATGTCCAGATGAAGTTTCAATGGCTTATATGATCCTGTCCGCACCATTGAACTTTTTGAGGCTTTCGTGTACAAAAAATTATTCTGTTCAACTTTTATTCACCAAATACAAAAGTCAACCAAAGCATTTAGTATTCCAAATAATTTATGTTATGATCTCAGCTCATCAAATTGTTTTCACAGTTCATCAAAGTTATTGCTTCAGGGATATTCCCCAAGAGCATTTTGTAAACCAATATCTTCTGTAAGCTGGTATGCTCTGATATTTTGAACATACTACTGGTCTTTCATATTTTTTCATAAATTATAATTCAGTAGATTGATCGAATAATAGATTCAAAGATTTTGTTCTTACCATTTCAATGGACGAATCAGAAATATAGGTTTACTTATTCTATATAATAGTGATCAGTAACTCTTTATCCCTCTTTTTACTATAGAACTGAGTCATGTGTTTTAAGTTATTAATCGAAAAAGTCAATCTTTGTGGCTACAGAGAAGGAAATTCTTAATGCTAGGTTTGTGTATTAATGCAATTCTTATTCCTTTAAAGAAAAAGGGATGATGAAAAAAGAAATGAAACATTCTCTTTGAAATAGTATGCTTATACGTTTTGTATTTCAGGGTGCGCATTGAGTACATGTGATTCAAAGAGATTTGGCAGAGCCTGATCGGATTGCGGAAGAATTGCTACAACTAGGTGGCTACGGCAAATTGAAAGCCTCTCAAATCTCTCCCTTTAACCAATAAAATCAATTTTCAAGGGATCCATACCACATAAGCATGATTATCTTTATTTAAAATTACCCATTACTTTGGATTGCAAATTATTTGAGCATGAGCAAGATCATCTGGTTATAATCTTTTGTTACAAATAAAGATAATTTTAGACTAAAAATTGTTGGGCCCATGTGAAGCATGGGCAAGATTGTCTAGTATTATTTATAGTGTAGGATAAGAAGATCCTTCCTTTTTGCTTCTTCAAGGTACGTCCCCAGTCACTTTTAATTCAAAAAAAGAATTATCTGACTTTCAATGTCGTGAAGCATATTGATACCTAATTATCTATAAATCGTCACAATAAAGTGTGATAACCTTAAAAAAAAGGCCTTTAACTTCACTTAGTAATTTTATTATTCATATTGACGAGGGTGAATAAGATTTTAGCCATGTGTTTGTAATATATTACCTTGGGTCATGTTGTAAAATTTTTATTACCAATATGAAGATATGAGTAGTTTAATTTAAAGTTCTAAAATACTTTTTCTGTTAAAAAGTAGGTCATTTTTCTTCTTTGAAAAAGGATTTTGTACCTTTTCTTTAAACGAACTTTAGTATTGTATAAAGTATAAACGAAGGTAAAATCATAAAATACACAGCATAAGTCTTTGGGACCCCTCTTGAACTTGACAGCTTTTATTCAGTGTACATGTAGTCTATTTTTGTCCTAATTACCTCTTTATATTCGGGTGTTTGGTAGCTTTCACCCCTGGACAACCTTAACCCGAGGAGATGTGATGCATTTGGTGTCACAAGAATTATTTTTTGTCCATGTAAAGTATTTTAATAATAAAATATATTATTTTTATATTTTCAAATTTATCAACTTTTTAGCTTATTTTTTCGTGCCAATTTTGACAACAACAATAACGGCCCGGTGTAATTTCACTAGTAGGGTCTGGGGAGATTAGTATGTACGCAGTTGTTTCCAGGAGACCCTCAGCTCAAGAAGATGACAAGAGGCGATATATTAGTATTCATAATAAAATAACAGATGACAAGAGGCGATATATTAGTATTCATAATAAAATAACAGCAATATTTGAAAGCCATAATTGGAATTCCATTATTTAGGTTAATGCCTAATTTTATTTTTAAGCATAATGGAGTTACACACAACTCCTTTTTTTTTTTTTTTTTTTTGGCATATCTAGCCCGTAAAGACTAAATTAGAACTACACAATAAATTGTCATGGCATCTAAAGATGAAATAAAGAGAAATGTATAACTGAAATTTCATTATTTTGTTAAACATTTTTATTTAAAAATAGTAGAGCTCTAGAAAATTTTCTTATAGATTTTGCTAGAATAAGAAAATTACACAGTTATTGCATATAAATAAGAAATGAAAAGAAAAATTCACAGTTGGAACTCTATTATTTTGGCTAAAAATAAGGGAAATTATCAGCTATGTCCATTTATAGGTAGCTCATTATAAAAATTGGTCAATTGATAAAATATTACTAATATTAGCCAAATTAGCCAATTAGCTATTTGTAGCAAAAAAACATCAAATCTTTGCTCTGTGTTGAGTGGGTGTTATTAGAATAGATTGGGCACAACTTAAGGAGCTTGAATCTCAGTTTTGGGATGATTTGGTGAAGTTTTGAGGTGGTTTGAATTGAAAAGTCGAAGTAAAAGCTGAAGTGTATCATACTGTGTATCATTTGTGTATCATATATGTATCATATTTGTATCAATTGTGTATCACATGTATATCCATGTATATCTGTGTGTGAGATACACGCGTGATACATGTTTGATACATGTGTCGCAGAAGACTTTTTTGAACTCGATTTAATTATGAATTTTGATACAAGACCACTCCAAATCACCTCCAATCTTCCTCAAATTTTGTATATTGACTTATCTATATATTTTGAATGAATTTCAACTATACCCATTGAAAAAATTCCTTTTTTGTTTAGATTTTTGGAATATTTGTATAGATTTTTGTATTTCATCACCTTATTTGCTACCCCGTCCATGAAATTTCTTTTCCGTCTTGTATCTAATGTTGCTAATCACACTTAAAAATATGGAAGGTGATTTTTGCATGTGATTCTTTGAGAGAAAGAACCCTATTATTTGGTTTTTCAATTTTTGTTGGCTAGTTTTGGTAAGTCTATGACTAATGGCTAGAGGTTGGTAAGTTGAGATTTATTTGGGACATTTGTGTAAGTTTCCCTAAAAATAATCGAGTTTCAGTCAAGTCTCTTTTACATAATTGGCCCAAGAAGAGTAAATACATAGTTAGAAGAAATAGTCATTACACCTAAAGAAAAAATAAATTAAAAGAATACAAAGTTGAGGTAAAATATGCGTGGTACATTTAGTACCAAGATGAAATACACAGTTAAAACAAATAAATATATTATATATGATTATGTAGTAATCAACAGTTAAAAAATATTCCACTTGAAAGTTGATTTTTTGATTTTTAATCACTCTCACATGCTTAAAAGAGAGTGGTCACTCTATTTGCCATGTCAGCGTTCATAGTGTATTGGAGAAAATAAATTACACGTGGAATTAATTATGTGGCTGATATGGCAAAACACATGGATCACTAGACAAAATAATTGAGTTTCAATCAAGTCTCTTTTACGTAATTGGCCCAAGAAGAGGAAATACATAGTTAGAAGAAATAGTCATTACACCTAAAGAAAAAATAAATTAAAAGAATACAAAGTTGAGGTAAAATATACGTGGTATATTTAGAACCAAGATGAAATACACAGTTAGAACAAATAAATATATTATATATGATTATGTAGTAATCAACAGTTAAAAAATATTCCACTTGAAAGTTGATTTTTCGATTTTTAATCACTCTCACATGCTTAAAAGAGAGTGGTTACTCTATTTGCCATGTCAGCGTTCATAGTGTATTGGAGAAAATAAATATTACATGTGAAATTAATTATGTGGCTGGCATGGCAAGACACATGGATCACTAGAAAAGTGACAGCTGGAGAAGAGTACTTAAAAAGATGTAAGTCTTAATAGGCACGAGCAAAACGTCTAAGAGACGAGAAAAAACGGTTGCTCGAGTCTCTTAGTAATTTGAAGAGACACCGGTAGAATGAACTAAGACAGTAAAAAGCACAGATTCGTTGGTCTTCTATTAATCAGCACGAATGATTATAAACGTTACAGATTCACGAAAGAATTACGATTGCCAATTATAACGTTTCATTAATGTCATTAATGCTCATAATGACTCGATCATAAAGGGAAAAAGACGTTGTACTTAGAGATGGCTATATAAGGAAGAAAAATGTCATTTGTATGGGGACGTTCTGATAATTACTGGAATACAATTATTTACTTTTGCTTTATATTAATTACTTTGCAATTTCATACTCTAATTTTCCTTTCTCATTGCAAGAATATTCCTTTTCTTGATTATCAGTAACCCGAGTACTTCTAAAAATAGGCTTTGACCGAAATTCCTATTTTCTGGTTAAACAAATTTTTTCCGTTACCGGGAAGCTGATAATCTTTTCACTTCCCAAATCCATTCTTCTGCCAAAAACTCATGTCAAACGTCAACGACAGCAACCAACAAAACCTACAAAACCAACAAAATCAGCAACAGTTGAATCAGCAAAATCAACAAGGTGATGGAACTCCAGTCCCCTCACCACGAAACTCTCCTCGACAATCTCGAGAAGACCTGACAGATCTGAATCGCATATGAATGATCAACATGAGGACGATCAAGCTATCGATGCAACATTGAAAATATTAATCGCAGAACAGGTCAACAATGCTCTTCAAGCTTTTGCCAGAGGGTAGCCAACGTACCCCCAACTCCGCATCCAAACAACACCACAACCATAGAGAATCCACGCTCAAGACTCGCTAATTCAGGCAGCGGAGGAACTCCCAGCAAATCTCGCGATGGGAGGTCAGGTATCTCAATTGATTCTAATTTACAAAGTTTAGTACTAACTTTGCAAAAACAGATCAAGGAGCAGAATGATCGCATAGAGCAGATACCTGGTGTTCCACCTATAATCAAAGGGGTGGACATGGAGAAATATTCTCAACTACCTTGGAAACTCAGTGCCGCTCCTTTACCTATTCCAAAAAAGTTCAACATGCCCGATATCTCAAAGTATGATGGAACTACCGATCCACGAGATCATGTAACCACATTTACCACAGGCGTGAAAGGCAATAATTTGACTAAGCAAGAGATTGAACAGTGCTGGTCAAAAAATTCGGTGAAACACTCACAAA